AAAAAAGTTTGGGAACCTCTGGTTTAGTCAGTGAACTGTGTCAGGATAAGACTTTGGGATTTGTCTTCATACGTTTTCAATTTTATACTTTTGAATGTAAACAAAATTTCTATCAGCTGCTCGTTTAACTTGCAGGTTTTTGCAAATTTTCTGTTCGCGTACTATTTTGGATATTTTTCTCTTGTGAGAGAACCGATGACATTTCGCCGGAATTTCGCTGTTGAACATTTTTTTACTGGAGATTTTTAACGAACGTACCTATTGACTAAGCAATATTTCACAGAACTGTTACGAACAGCTTTGACTGACGTAAAACCAGGTTTTGAAAATTTGGCCAAATGGATATTTTTGATTTTCTTTAATATCTATCTTATGCACATTAGAATAATAATAAAATTAATGTTTTTCATTTCTAATAACAACTTTATTTAAAAATAAAATTTTGGTTTTTGTTTTTTTTTTTTTTGTTTGTCTTTGTAGCATTTAGAATTTACATGTGGCTCTTTTCGGGCTCGGCCTTGCCCACCCCTGTCCTATACAAACTCCGTTTATTATCAAGGTACATATAATTTAATTCGCGTGAAATTTCTTCGTCTGAACTCTATTACTGATTTCATTCACATACTTGATTCTCTGCTTTTGATCAGCATTCTTATCTTTGCAAGCTCGATTGGTATGTCTAATAACGCCGCACGCTTAACATATTACATTTTTACTATATATACATACAATCTTTAACAAAATGTCGAGAATCTCCGCAACGGTAACAACTACAAGTAGAAGCTGAATGCTCTACCACTCGCTCCGATGCTTGCTGCCCACTCTCACTCATACGCTGCTGTAGACGTTGTTGTGTTGTCCCGCGATTTCCTCTACCTCTCGACGATCCCAGCGCTTGTCGTCCATAGTCGATAGTTCCATTACGTGGAGACTTTCCATAGCTCAACATGTGCACGTCTTGGTTCTCGCTACTTGCTTCTTGCAATGTTTATTGGCTCCGTCCGACGCTAGTGCTTTTTTGAATGGTACTTCCATTTAATTTTAATAATTCCGCTATTATAGTTATACTTTTTAAACCGCATATCGTTTGATCGAAGACTTGTTCGTCTATATCCGTAAATTTACACTTATCGGCCATAACCTTTAAAGTTGTTACATATTCTGTTATACTTTCACTTTCCAGTTGTTTTCTCTGACGAAACTCGTATCGGTAAACTAAATACTGTTTGTTACTTTTATCATAATTTCGTCATGAGTTCTTTCTTTAGGTGTATTAGGTTTACATATTTTAGCTATTTTTTCGATAAGTTTCTGCATTCACTTTATTTGCAATGAAGTATTGGTCTAATCTGTCTGTAAACATTTCCCAATCGTTTTTAGGAATATCAAAATCTAAATTTGCAGAGCGTTCCATTGTTACTTCACTTTTCACAGTTTCTTCTTTAATGTTGAATATTTTTTTATCCACTATGTCAGGTATTACTATTAAATTTTTCGTAAATCGTTTATATTATCCTCTTCTGGTTCATATTCGAACAAGTTTATTTAACACAGTTGTTCCAACTGGTATTTTTTCAATGTCTGGATCCACGATGTTCCTTTAATTTCACTTGACATTCTTTGTTTTTGCCAAAGAAACTATCATTTTGCTATAGAGTCTGAATGTATTCAATTGCCATGTGCAGAAGAAATTTCTCGAAACTTTGGTATATCCTCGTCGCCAATTATACAATACGCGAAAGATACAACTATTCAGGTTGAAAAAAATAGAAATCAAACATGATGAAGTTAATAAAAAAATTAAAAAAACGAGTTTTTAATGCAAGCATTTTTTATTTTATTTCAATAGTGTTATTGAGCTTTGTACCACGATTTGTTTGATAGGAAAAATGGGAAAAACAACAATGCTTAAGCGGTAGTAGTTATAGCAGCTATTTCGGAGATCACCACATCTCCTCATGAGACTTCTTTTTTTTTAGACTTTCAGCAGGGATCGAACCCGCGTCATCGATGTGCAAAGTTAGAAGCGCTAACCACTGAGCTATGCACACCCCATAAGCTTTCCATTGCCATAAGCTGATTTGTCGTTATTAGAGCTTGACAGCGTGGTTGTTATTATTAATTCCATACATGAAATAGATTCAATGCTTAATCGGTAGAAGTTATCTCCTCATCAGACTTCTTTTTTTCTAGACTTTCAGCAGGGGTCGAACCCGCGTCATCGATGTGCAAAGTCAGAAGCGCTAACCACTGAGCTATTATGCACACCCCGTAAGCTTTTTGTCGCTAGTCCATTTCCTTATTCAACCTACTAATATTTTTTATTTTAATCTATCTCACACTCTTATGGAAAGCCGAGGTAATTACGGACATTTTGATACCTTAACTGATTTGCTCCAACAAATAGTTTATTAACTGCAAACAATTGAAAAAGATACTTCTCCGTGATTTCAAAATTTCGGGAATTTTTATTTCGAGATTTTCGAATATCGTGACGAAATCAAAAAATATGTGTCTTTTTCGATAAAGAATGTAAAAAAATATATTTCACCCCAAAAAAAATATTGATGTGTAAATATTGTATGGAATGACCCATATGTATCTTACTTTAGTACTTATTTCTCCTTACATGTTATACAACACTAGTGCTCATTATTCACATACATATCTTACAATTATTCACTTTTAAATAGTGGTTATTTTCGAAGAAAACCATAACGTTTTTTCTGATTTGTGATCCAAAATAAGTAAAAATAAAAAAATTAAGCGTTTCCTTAAGTAGGGTTAATGAAGATTTTCTACTAAGCATTAAATTACAAAAGTTTTAATGACAATGTTGGGCATTACGTTTATAAAACTCCGGATTGCAAATGTAAATTTTTTTCAAAATGCTCCTCATATGTAAGTGAAAAAGAAACATTTTTACCATTACATACATTGGCATACTTTTTTCTCATTGTGTTTTTTTTCCAAAGTATTTACGAATTGTTGGCTACCTGGTAGCTTTTCAATAAATCAGGATATTAAAACCGTTATGAAAAATGTATGTATGCTTTAAAAAGTACAATAAAAGTCGTGTTTTGTTTCTTTGTAAAAATTACGTAAGTTAAGTTTTTTGCCGGTTTCGTTTTTTTATTTTGATCTGGCTTCGCTAGTATGTACCAGATTTTGTTTTTTAATGCAAAGGTTTTCGCGAAGAAGTGGCAATTGAAACACATTTATTTAGGAGGACTTCAGGGTATTTAAGAATGTATCATACAATTTTTGTAAAACTGTTTATTGAAAGAAATACAGCAATAACATGCAGTTTACTAAATTTGCTGCTTTTGTTTTGCACAACACTGTATTTTGACGTTTATATCAAATGCTACTTTTGAACAACTGTTTTTATTTTAGGTATCGACTTTAAAATAAGAACAATTGAGTTAGATGGCAAAAAAATCAAGCTTCAAATATGGTAATATATGCGATACATTGAATCTATGTATATTCAGTAATACTTCATTTTTAGGGACACCGCAGGTCAAGAACGTTTTCGCACAATAACCACTGCTTATTATAGAGGGGCCATGGGTATCATGTTGGTTTACGATATTACGCAAGAGAAATCCTTCGAAAATATTAAAAATTGGATCCGGAATATAGAAGAAAATGCTTCCGCTGACGTAGAAAAGATGCTATTGGGCAACAAATGTGAGCTCAATGAAAAACGACAGGTGGGTATTAAACAATTACTTTTAAAATATTTTTTGTCTAAAGTGATATCGGTATCTTACCCCCCTAATATGAATTCATAGGGAGTGGTAGTAAATTCTGCTTTTCAAAAATCATTCGGTCAAAGCTTCTGGAAAAATCTTGAAAAACTTCTTTGCAGCTAACATTTATTCGGGTAAAAATTCTGTATTCCAAAATTATGTAAGAACCAAATGATGTAGAACTAAAATTGTGGGTTCAAAATTATTTTGGGCCAAAATTCTGTGTTTTTTACAAACTTTAATTTAGCTTCACTTGCATGTATGTACATATGACCTAGAGTTTCGCAATCAATATTTCACCAACTTCCCGATGAGCTAGAGACTTGAAACTTCAAACTTAGCTCCTAACCCAATGGCAATGCAATATGAAACAGGCCGCTAGGTGGCTCAGGAGGGAGATATTTAGGAAACCAATATTTATGGTCCGATTTGGTTCATACTTAGAAAGCTTGTTTTAAAAATATACTTTACCATTAACGTTTTTAATATATAAATTAAACCAATCTTATTCTCTTCTTAAATAAAAAATAATGGACAAAAGAAGTTAATATACAATTAAATTTTTAGCAATTGTTTTTTAGAAAACAAATATGACTTAGTATAGTCTTCTTTCATAATTTTTGTAATTTTTCTATATCCTTTTACAGCTTTTATCTTTTGGGGTATTTTTTGGCTATTTTGAATTGTCGCGAGTTGAGCTTTCGCATAAACCATCTCGCCTTTTAAATCATTCAAAAGTTTTCACAACCCCGAATTTCTTTTCCCATCGATAACTTTTAGCCTCATAAAAATTAAGTGCAATCTGCCATTATGCAATTGCAGCTGCGGGGTCTTTTTTGAAACTCTTGCTTTACCAAGAGGTTATAAGATTTAAAAGCTTATCCGAAAGACGAAAAACAGTCACCTAACGAAGCTTATATTCCCATTGTATGCACTGGTATAGAAAAAATTTAAACTGAATTCGAAATTGCCATCTTAACACCAGCTTAACGGCCATATGGATTAACACTTTCGAAATTATTTCATTTTGCCTTTAATCTCCTTTCAAATTGCTTATAAGATTTTGATTATATCACTTTTACTTATTATAACTTTTGCAGTTCAGCCTTCTTTTTATGAAATTGCAGTCTTTGATATTAATATAGATTAAAAGTCTTCGTTTATCAATTTTTTCTCCAACAACTAGGTTTAAAACAAGACGAGTCGAGAAATATAACTGATTTCGAAACTTGCCAAAAATCTCCCTAATATTTTATATAAAAGATTTTGGCACTGAACCTATTCTGATCAAGTATTAAATTTTAAAATTTTATCATTCTTTAAAAAAAAAACGTCAAAAACGCCAAATAGTAGCGCCATTGTGGTCGTTTTAGATGTTTGTTAGAGAATTGAATGAGCCTTAACACTTAATCTACGAAGAAAACTTGTGGACAATTCTGCTGATTGGTAGTGTTTATATTTAATTGACTTAAAGTACAGTATTTTCAACAATCCTTAAAGTACCCACACTCCTTCGTTTATAAATGTCCAGATTATACAACATAAAAACTCGCAAGCGCCAATTCTTTGATAACTTACCTCTTAGCGTGTTCAGGACAAATACCGTAATCGCCATTTTACCTTTATATATAAATTTACCTTTTGTCCCTTACGATAAAATCGCAAATAGGGGTCGGTGTAATTTTTTTCAAACCACAAGCAAAATTTTTTTGTTTATGCATCTTCAAGAGTTTTATAAAACTCTCAGTACTCAGAGATTTCATCGAGGCACAAAGGCAGGCTTTTTAACATTATAATTTGTAAATCGAAACATGAACTTATGACATACTCCTGAACCTTTTTCTAAACAAAAATATAATTTTGAACTGTTTCTGAAACTATCATTAGTTACAATTTAGAACACTACACTAAGTTCAGACAGCAATTTAATTGAGTCAATTAATCTTTTAATTGAACTGCCGCTTTTTCGTGGACACACACATTCAGCTGCTCGATTAGCAACACGCAGTCAGCTGCTCGATTAGCTAAAGTGATGGAAAAGTTGGTACAATCGTACCTTCATTTAGTTTGAAAGTGCATTCGGTACAAACTCGCCATTTTAGGTACATTTTTAACTAGTCAAATAAGTTTTCAGGAATTCAGTTCTTATTTTTATTCACATTTCAACGCATTTTCTGGTGTGGGTAACTTGTCCAATAGCCTCCCTCCTTTCTGGAGGGGCATACAAATGATAGAAAATGGTGATCAAAGTAAAGTAACTGTAGTTGAATGCGCCAGAAAGACAGAGAATATTTATTTTTAAACGTAAGATCGAAGAACTCGGAGGAAAGCGATTCACCTTTTCGAAAATATAGTTTTGTCTCGAACTGCTCGAAGAGATTCTTTTTATAGCCAAATTTGTTTAATGTGAGTCCATAAGTTGATATGGTATCGCTGGGAAAGGTTATCCTCTTATGTTCATTAATATATATTTATAAAAATACATATTTACTTTTTAGGTACATTTATCTATTTTTAGATTCAGCTGTTTAAGGGGACCAGAAACGAACAGCTGATTGCTATTTGTTCAATAAACATACCTCAAAGTCAAGATTAAATATACCCAGCAGGGTTGCATGAAAAAATTAATTGAATTAGCACTCAATTTTTTATTAATCGAGCAATTAAGAATTGAAATTTTTTGGGGTAAATCGAGCTCAATTAGCGACTTGATCGAGAAAGCTTGGCTAATTGCTCTGTTAGCGGCCTGTCTGAACATACTATTACGTTAGTATAAACTATGTATATGTATATTTGCTCTACGGAATTCTGTATGGGGAAGATCGGAAGACCTATGGATAAAGAAAATAAGTGTATTTCCAAAATTTTGCTTTACGAAA